GTCTGGGCGCGCGACACCCAGCCCTGGTACCAGCGCGCCGCCCTCTGGCTCGGCGCCACCTTCTTTCCCTGGGCCACGCCGAGCGGCGAGGGCCTGGACATCCGCCCCTCCGACAACGTCGAGGCGCTGATCGCGCTGGGCCGCGATCCCCTGGTGATCAAGCGCACGCGGATCGACGCCATCGCCGGGCTGGTCGACTTGATGGACGCCGCGCTGGCCGCGGCTGCGCGGGTCGAGCTGCCGCTGCTCTACCTCTACGGCGCGCAGGACGAGCTGGTGCCCAAGGCGCCGAGCCTGGCCGCCTGGCGCGCCCTGCCCAACACGGGCGAGGGGCAGCGCCTGGCCTACTACCCCGAGGGCTGGCACCTGCTGTTCCGCGATTTGCAGGGGGCGACGGTCACCGACGACGTGGCGGCCTGGGTCCGCGACCCGCAGGCGCCCTTGCCCTCCGGCGCCGATCGCCGGGCCGAGGCGCGGCTGGCCGCCGATCTGGAGGACGACATGCCGTAGCGCGCGCGGCCCGGCGCGACTCCGGGCCGATTTGGCGTCAGGCGTCTGGGCGTCGGGTCTCTGGGCGTCAGGCGTCGCTCTCGGACCCGCCGCCGGAGGTCGCTCCGGCGGCCCCGCCGGTGGCCGGCTTGGCCGCGGCCCGGCCGCGCGCCGCCGTCTTCGCCCGCGTGCCCGACTTGGCTGCCGTCTTGCCGGCCGACTTGGCCGCCGTTTTGGCCGCCGTCTTGCGGCTGCGCGCCGCCGGCTTGGCGGCCTCCAGCTTGGCCAGGCGCGCCTCCAGCTCGGCCACCCGCTCGGCCAGGGCCTCCTGCTCGGCGCGCGCCGTCTCGGCCAGGGTGCGGGTCACCTCGTAGTCCTCGCGGGTGACCAGGTCCATGTCGGCCAGGATGCGCTCGAACTGCCGGCGGAGCTGCGCCTCGGCCTCGTGCCGCACGCCGGCGGCCACGCCCAGCGCGCTGCTGGCCAGCCGGGCCAGGTCGTCGATCACTTTGCTCTGGGTCTGCATCGCCCCGCTCACTCCCGTGCTGTGGCGGCCCTCCGGGGGCCGGCGTCGCTTTGTGCGAAAGGTGCGCCCGCCGGCTCTGGCGATCAAGAGCGCAAGGCGTTACAAGGCGGCCCCATGATCCTGGTCACCGGCGGCGCCGGCTTCATCGGTTCGAATCTCGTCGGCGCGCTCGCGGCGCGCGGCGAGCGCGTGGTCGTGGCGGACTGGCTGGGCCGGCCCAGCGACGGCCACGAGAAGTGGCGCAACCTCGCCAAGGCGGAACTGGAGGCCATCGTGCCGCCGGAGGAGCTGCTGGCGGCGCTCGAGCTGGGCGAGTTCACGCCCGACGCGGTCTTCCACATGGGCGCGGTCTCGGCGACCACCGAGACCGACGGCGATCTCTTGGCGCAGACCAACATCACCCTGTCGCAGCGGCTGTGGCGCTGGTGCTGCGAGACGCGGGTGCCCTTCATCTACGCCTCCTCGGCGGCGACCTA